CAGCCCCCCAAACAACTTAGGCCAGAGCCCCCCCAAACAACTCTGACCCAAAGATGATTTGGGGGGCGCCGCACTATTACGGATTCTGGATGTTTGGGGGGGGGGGGGGTTTACTAATCAGGAGGCAACATTAACCTGTTCCGGAAGAGTAAACAGCTTCTATCCGACTAAAACCAAGCGTGGCAGCATGCAAGGGTAGGCTCAAGCGAGTAGTGTCAATTCAGCCGGCTGCGCGCGAGATTGCTCGCTGCTGCCAGTGCATTGGGGCTGCTGGCCCCTGACCACAAAGTCGTAGGGTCGCAGGGACTGCATTGTGGCAGAAAGGTGCCTTCCCGTAGAGAAAGGGACCTCAGATCCAAATTTTGCCGTCGCAAGCTCCAGACAAGGCCTGCTTGGAGGTTCATGGGTAGTTATAAGTGGGGTTATAAGTCCCCTAATATGGGTTATAATTATAGTTACCCTACTCATAACCCTACTTATAACTACCCATGAACCTCCAAGTGTTGGACTTGCGCCGGAAAACTTCGGGCTCCCGCTCGTAGACCAAGCGAAAGTTGACCTCGGCCTCATGAACCTTCCAAACTTGTGACTCGAGGGCTCCGACATATTGAATCGGGTGGGCTCATACTTCCAAGTCCTGGCATGCAAAAACACCGGCCAAATAACACCCGCCACATCTCCGCACCATGACTTTCACATCACTATCTGGGACCTGCATGCTTCTCCCTAAGTGAAAGCTGCTGCAACGGGTTCCGGGCCTTGTTCTGGATGCGTAAACTGTGAGCCAAGTCGCTGCGCCCCTTCGCAGCAGGTCGCATGCTGCTTGGCCGACATCCACACAGGATTCGACAATTGAATTCATCGCTTCACAAGGAAATCAAGCAGAGGCCTGCAGCAAGTTCTGAGTCGACACGGTTGGCGCCTCACAATCCATGGCGGTGATCCACATGCAAACTATGCAAACGAAGCACAACCCTTATCGATCTAATCTACCCCTACCCTCCCAGCTATCTGTCCGCATCTGCTCATCTCCGTTGTCTGCATAACGTGTGCATATCTTGGCATTCGCGCAATTTCGCGCGCGCGCACACAGACTGAACTGCAATACCTGCAATGCAACCTACTGCAAATCATAGCGCAATGTAATGCAACGTAATGCAATGCAACGTAGCTCAGTGTAGTGCACTGTAGTTCAATGAGATGTAGTGTAACGCAAGGTAATGCATGTGAAGCATTGTGCATACTGCACGCAGTGTAGCGCATGTAATGCAACACAACACAGTATGATGCAGTATGAAGCAATACAGCGCACTGGCGAAATGCCATGCAGCTTCAAGCAATATTGCGCGACGTGTAATGCAATGTGAGACAAGGTTTTGCAACGTTACGCAAGGTAGTGTAATTTAACGCAAGATAGTGTATTGCACGACATTGTAGCGCAATGTCGCGTTCACTCATGCAGTCCTGTGCGACACAACCATCCCATGCAATGTCATACAACCCGGCGCAACTAACCAGACGAAGCCCAATGCAAGGCAGTGCAATGCTCATGCACTGTATTGTTATGCAGTACTAGGCGATGCAGCTTCATGCCATGGGATGTATGCCATGGGATGTCAAACACCATCATGCAATGCAATGCAGTGCAGTGCAATGCAATTCAACTCAACACAACACAGTGCAAGCGCGATGTAATGTGATGACATGCATTTTCAATCGGATCTTCAAGCAACATCGCGCGAAGCCATCTGGCATCATGTAGCGCCATGTGAATTCAATGTCATGCTGCTGCAACTCTTCTTGGTCCAATGTCATCTGATAGCAGCAAGTCGTGACATGTGTGTGCTATGTCCAAGATGCTTTACGCTTGGTCGGCAATGTATTGGAATTTACCATGAATCTTTGCTGGTTCAGTGGTTGAACACGGCCGTTCAGGACGTCGGGACAGCAACATATTAGCTCAAGGACAGCACCATGGATGCCTGCACGGAGCATACGCTTAGAAGCCTGACATAGTAAGCCTTCTGCCAACATATACGGAACCTGAACAAGCTCTAGACCGTACAAAAGCCTCCGTGTGAGCCTTTTCCGTGAATGATTCTCCTAGATATCCTGCAATTCTGTGCAGGCTGTATATGTTCTTCAAAAGCAGATAGATAGGTAGATAGACAGACAGATAGATTGGCAGATAGATGTATACCTACATGCGACACACGCAGAGACCTCTTGGTACATTTATCCTCTGTAAACCAGCACAGGCACACAGATGTGCGCGCAGGATGCACTCACATTACATAGATACATACATACATACATACATCCATCCATCCATCCATCCATCCATCCATGCATGCATGCATGCATGCATGCATGTATGACATACTGTGTTCGGCACCTCGCTCGCATTATGCGTGCATGTATATATGCATATATGCATATGTGTGCGTACACATAAGCGCATCAGCATGCCATCCGCCTCGGCAGTCTGCACGGCCAGGATTCGACGAAGCACCTTGAACTCCAAATAGATCCCCAGACACCAAATGCATGAGGGCTGCCAAGCAAACAAACTCGTGTCACCCTGCGAATGGCAAAACACAAACCCTGTGTATGCAGACGCATTATTCGTGTCAGCACACACACCGACAGAAGGCTTAACAAACAGGTTGCACTAACGTGAAGCTCCAAGGTGAAGCGCTCACCGTAGGGATTACCCTCAACTGCGGCAGCAGCAACATCTACGCGCTCAACTGAAGTGTGCTTCATGCACTTGCTGCCACAGCCGTGACTGAAAATGCAAAACATCCGTGGCGATGTGCAAGTGGTACGTACTGCATGCATAAGAAGTAGAACCTGGCAATGTGCTACTGCTACAGCCTGCCAACCTCGCACCCAAGTTTGGCTGGGACGGTCTTGCGCCGGTGGGGGGCGGAGGAGCCGGCACAGGGTTTAGGATCCCTCACCTCGCACATCCTGGCCGGTGGATGCAAACTCTTCCCTCCTGCCACCATTCAACCAGGGCCTAGGGCCTAGGGCAGACGGTCCTACTTCGTGCAGACACTTGGCACTTGAGCTGCTTGTGTAAAAGCCTAGCATATGTGGACCTTGAGTGCAGAGCCCCCGAGAATATCTGGCGGTAGCTCAGATTGAAGTCAAGGACTGGAACTTGAGCTGCAACAGGTTTTGCATCTTTGACTGAACGTCGGTCGTTGATTCGGAGTAACATGAAACGAGTGTTGTGGTGGTGGTGGTGGTGGTGGTGGTGGTGGTGGTGGTGGTGGTGGTGGTGGTGGTGGTGGTGGTGGTGGCGGTGGTGGTGGCGGCGCTGTATCCATTATTAATTATATAGCAGGGCTACACTATGCTGCAATGCTGCCTCTGCACGTTCCCGTCTCCGAACTCATGCCACTGTTCTGCGGTTCTGCCAGATGTTCAGTGCCAGCAAGCAAAACAAAGAAACTATCGTTTCTTGTGCTTCTGGGTGCAGAACAAGGTCCCCCTTGAGATGGCCCAGGTTTGCATGCTGCATGCAACTTGCTAAAGCCATCGCCTTTCTACTAGCGTAGCTTGCAAACACCTCAAGGCAGCTAACCACACCCACCCACCCACCCGCCCGCACACCCACCCGCCCTCCCCGACACACACACACACAGAGAGAGACAGACAGACAGACAGACACAGCTGCGTGAAAGGTTGCGCCTCCTCGGCTTCAGCCGGCCGGTGCTGGCCCAAAAGCAGCGATGCCAGGGCGCGCTGGGTAGCAGTGCGTGTTCGGACTACTCCGACTTGCTGCATTTCGCGTTTCTTAGGGCTTTGAGCAGTCAGACAGGGCCGACTGATTCGGGACGTACACACGCACCCTCGCTGCCGTCACGGATCTGAAAGAGTTGTTTGGGAGACGCCGAGCACGAGGCGTGCGAGAGTCTGATGATGAAGAAGGTCCCAACTTCCCATCGCTGGTTAGGTCGTACTGTCGACTACTTTCGCATGTCATGTGGGTACTGACTGGTGCCATATCATGCCTGCGCGCTACCACTTCGCGATACCACTGGCTGACCAAGTGACACTAATTGAGGGTAGCCCCCCAACCTACTTCTGCATACGACTGGAATACTCTTACATCATCTTAGTCGGCTGAGGGTGTCCTTCTGAAAAACGTCGTAGGGTTTAGAATTCAGGGTGACGTCCACCCGGTGGGTCCAAATATAAGCCTTTATGGCACTGGCAACCTGCATAACCCCTGTTTCTTATGATCCTTATACGAACCCTTTTGGGGTTTAGGGTTTAGGGTTTAGGGGTTTCTAGAGTCCTAGAGCCTGTATAGAATACTTTTTGGAAAACAACCCATATCAACCCCCTGGTTCGGGGCCTAAACCTAAACCCTAAACCCTAAACCCTAAACCCTAAACCTAATTCAGA